TGTTCTCAAACCTACCTTGTGCTACGATTAGCAAGGTAGTGCTCGTCTATACTCGTCACCAAGCCCCTATCCTTCTATAAATTCAACTATCCCTCCTCCTCAAAACCCACACTCATACACCTCTGGGTTTTACTTTGAAGGATCTTTATACGTACCACCCCACGAACAACCAGACCACTCCACTGTTCTAGGAGGCAAAGCCCATAAACAAGTTCCGTGGAATCTGGGAGGATTGTGTGTTAGTTTGTTTTGTGTGTGGTTTTCTAACTGCAGTTCTCATCATCGACAGCGGGTGGCTGCATCATGCACAAATATTCTTTTGTTATCAAATACCAAGGACACAGAGAATGAGTCACCACCGAAGCTACCCAACTAGGGAAGATTAATTTAATCTTGGGCTGGACCTGGCTATTTAAACACAACCCTGAGATCAACTGGCAGACAGGGATTGTCACATTGTCAGGTTGCCCTCAGGAGTGTGTAAACTTGGGTAAACCAAATCATGTCCGTCACAAAGAGCGTCTTGAGAAGATAAACGCTGGTCACATTTATGAGCTCAGATCTTTAGAAAAGATCGACGATGACAATGATGAGGTAAAACCCGAAGAAGAGATTAAGAGGCTGGTACCTCCCGAGTACCATGACTTCTGGAAAGTCTTTTCAAAACATAAATCAGAGCGCTTCCCAGAGGCTAAGCCTTGGGACCATGCAATAGATTTGAAGGACACTTTCAAACCAAGAAAAGGACACATGATTCCCCTCTCTGCTCCAGAAAGAGATGAGGTCTCAAGTTTCATAGACGAACAGCTTAGGAAGGGTTATATCAGACCTTCCAAAAGCCTTATGACGTCCCCAGTGTTCTTCATTCCTAAAAAGGATGGTAAGAAGCGTATGATTATGGACTATCGTTACATGAATGAGCACACGGTTAAAAATGCGTATCCGCTGCCTTTGATCAGTCAGCTAGTAGACAAATTGGCTGGTGCCAAAATCTTGACAAAGATGGATCTCAGATGGGGGTACAATAATGTACAAATCAAAGAAACAGATGCTTGGAAGGCCGCGTTCATGTACCACCGAGGATCTTTTGAACCCCTCGTTATGTTATTTGGGTTGACCAATTCACCGGCAACCTTCCAGAGCATGATAAACAAGATCTTTGCGGATATGGAAAACTGTGTCGTCATTTACATTGACAATTTGTTAATATTTACAAAGTCGAACGATGAGGCTGAGCATGACAGGATTGTGCAAGAAGTCCTTTGATGCTTACAGGAATGGGACCTATTCATCAAACCCGAAAAATGTAACTTTAAAGTGAAGGAAGTAGACTTCCTCAGTATGATCATAGGCCAGAACGGAATCAGGATGGATCCTGAGAAAGTTCAAGCTATTTTGGATTGGCCAGAACCTACTCGTGTCAAAGGAGTTAGGGCCTTCCTTGGCTTAGGCAATTTCTACCGAAGGTTTATCGAAAACTTCGCAGAAATCATGAGACCGTTGAACGATCTCACTAAAAAGGATATTGTTTGGCACTGGGGCGCCAAGGAACAAGAAGCTTTCAATAAGCTTAAACAGGCGTTTACAACGGCGCCCATATTAGCATTTCCAGAATTGGACAAAGAGTTCCGGCTAGAAACCAACTCTTCTGATTTTGCTACTGGGGCTGTTCTATCAATTTAATACCCTGACAATCTTTGGAGGCCTTGTGCCTATTTATCACATAGTTTGTCGCCTACAGAGCGCAACTATCAAATATATGATAAGGAGATGCTGGCCATCATTAGAGCTCTAGAGCACTGGCGGCACTACTTAGAAGGTGCTAGACACCAATTTGAAATTTAGACTGATCATAAAAATCTGGAGTATTTTATGACGGCCCGAGACTTGAACCGAAGACAGGCCCGCTACGCGGTATACTTGTCAAGGTTTAATTATAAATTAATTCATAAGCCTGGAAGTTCTATGGGGAAAGCGAACACTTTGTCCAGAAGAGAGGATCATGCCAACGGCATTGAAGATGACAACAAAAGTGTGACCCTGATAGACCAATCAAGGGTTGCCAATGTTAGAATTGGGCAAGATTCCGATCTTCTGGAAGTCTTCAAGAAAGACATCTCCTCAGAAGAAAAAGTGTGCCTGGATGGCAATGAAAACTATTTATGGGAAGACGGGCTCTTCTATTTTAAAAACAAAATCTATGTGCTTGAGTCCGCAAGGATCAATGCAATAGACAGACATCACAACACTCCAGTGGCTGGGCACCCTGGGTGGCAACGAACAATGGAGTTGATCTCCAGAAACTATATGTGGCCTGGCATAGTCAAAGACATACAGGAATATGTAAAATCCTGTCTGAGGTGTGCCATGGCTAAGAATTCTCACCAACCGCCGGCCGGTAAACTTATGCCGAATCCGATACCAGCTGGTCCCTGGCAGGATATATCGGTTGACTTTACGACGGATCTGCCCGAGTCAAATGGGTATGATTCAGTAATGGTGGTAGTAGATTGCTTCTCCAAAGAAGTGGTATTCATACCCACCAATAAAACCATTACCGCCACAGGTACGGCAGATTTATTTAAAGATTTTGTGTGGTCTATCCATGGGTTACCAGAAACGGTTATCTCCGATAGAGGACCTCAATTTGCTAGCAAATTTACAAAAAACTTATGCCGGATGCTGGGCATCAAACCTAAGTTATCAACGGCGTGCCATCCGCAGACCGATGGACAAACAGAGAGACTCAACCAGGAGTTGAAACAATATCTCCGCATATTTATTAATGACAGGCAGACAGATTGGGCCAAGTGGCTAAAGATAGCCTAGTTCTCATACAATATTAAACAGTCGTTGGCTACAGGAAAAGCACCATTTGAGGTTACTAGATTGTACCTCCCCAGAATGGGTGTAGAACCTGGTAAAAGCAAGAACAAGGCTGCTGGGAACATGGCCAAAGACATGAAGTCTGTCTTAGACAAAACGCGCAAGGTGCTATTCAAAACTGCAGAGCAGATGAAAGCCAGGGCAGAGCGTAGACACTCTAAAGCCCCTGACTACAAGGTCGGTGACCTGGTCTGGTTAGATACCGACCATTTAAAGTTAAAAGATCGGCAGTCTAGAAAACTGACCAAAAAGTGGATTGGCCCTTACCGGATTAAGGAAGTCAAACCCAATGCAGTGGAGCTAGAACTCCCAAAACGAATGAGGGTAGTACCTACGGTCAATATTAGCCGTGTGAAACCCTACAAAGGGCCGCTGCCGGGACAGCGTATAGACCGGCCCGGACCGGTTGTAGTCACCCAGGAAGGTGAAAAAGAGTTCAAAGTCGAACGAGTGGTGGATGCACGCTTAAAGCGTGGCAAATTAGAGTTCTTAGTTCTATAGAAGGGCTATGGAGACGAGGACAGAACGTGGGAGCCAGAAGCACATCTGGATAACTCCCGCGATGCTGTTCGCAAATTTTATTCTAAGAATCCCTCAGCTCCTAGGAAGCTTAGAGGCATGGATTCAAAACTTTTTAATTCTCTTTTTCAAACTATGCCCGAAAATTTAACCACTACCTCCGGTATTTGGTCTCGCCTGGAAGTCGAGCCTTAGAAGGGGGGTAGTGTTACGATAACACAATTTTCGGACCTTTCCTTTATTTTCATTCTCCGCTTTAACCTTGTACTTTAGCTTTCACACATGGTGCCACACGGCACTTCCCCCTTTTTGTCCAAACTCCTCTTTCTCGCGCCGCATTGCCTTTCTTCTTATTTTAGACACAACTCTCTCACACAGTGGAGCTGGCCATGCGGGCTAGGCCCCATGACATCATCAGCCACTGTCTCTATCAAAACTGTATAGTACACATGTACAAACCAACCTGTAGTAGTATATATACCCCAATAGATCCAGGAGACTCCTTAGCGAGTCCTCCTGTTGTTAACCAACAAACTCTCTGCAGCTCAAGGGAAACCACTCCCCATTCATCTCCCTTATAGTGTGTTCTTGTGTGTGCGCCAGAGTAACTAACTCTTGGTTGTTACACCAGCCTCTTAATTGTTAGTTTTGGTGATTCTGCACCTAGTTGTGCTATCTATTTTCCCTTCTTTCTAAATCACTTTCCTCTTTATTCTTTTTGCTGTATTGTTCAGTATTCACTGAGCATTCTGTAATTTCGCCTTTGTGGCTGATTTGTTTACCTTTGTTTACAAAACTTTGGACTAGTATTGCAGAGTCCAGTATTCCTATTCTTTAGTTACTTATACTGGACTCTAGGTACTGTACACATTCTGTACTCTCTGATAATATAGTTACTCATACTGGACTCTAGTTCTGTCCCTGTTAGCTCTCAGCAAGTGGCTAGACACTTCCCAGAAGTTCTCAATTGAACATTAATCTCTCCCTCGGGTTTTACCTTGTTATTGTCATCGTCAATCTTTTCTAAAGATCTAAGCTTGGCATAAAAGTGACCAGCATTTTTCCTTTCATCAAGCTCAGTTTGACGGACATGACTCGGTTTACCCAAGCCATCACACTCCTGAGGGCAACATGACAATGTGACAACCCCTGTCTGCCAGTTGATCTCAGGATTGTGTTTAATAGCCAGGTCCAGCCTAAGATTAAATTAATCTTCCCTAGTTGGGTAGCTTCGGCGGTGACTCGTTCTCTGTGTCCTTGGTACTCAATGACAAAAGATCATTTGTGCGTAATGCAGCCACCCACGTTAAGTGTACCATCAACGTTATAATAAAACTAAGTGAAACTCAGCCGCTGCCTGAGAGGCTATAGAAACGACTGTATTATTTACCTAAGTGAAACTACAATGGATGTTAGTTTAAGGTGATCTCTAATAAATGTAATGTAACATACCTCAGCTGCTGCCCGAGAGGCTATAGAAATGACTGAGGTATTTCTATACTAAACCCCCTACTACTTATAGTCAGATGTGCTACTCGCTACAGTATAATGACTCCTAGGGGTAAAATTGTGCTCCTAGGAGAACAATGGTGACTCTATGGAGTGGTGGCTATACTCCATGGAGAACAATGGCTGCTTTGGCAGAGACCGGGTTTATCCGGTTTTGTCACGTTATAGACGAGAATAGATACATCTAATTTTACAAGGGGGAGTCCGACTTGCTCCGCCCAGACCTGATCTGTGAAGATGCTGTTAGCGCCTGAATCAAACAGTGCGCTGGTTGGGTGTACCATGCCCTGGGCAAGGTTTTCCACACCAACATTTAAACGGATCTCTTTTTGGAATAAATATGTGCACATCAACACACGCTTTGGGATTTCTGTGGAAAGTGGCTCCAAAGAAGAAGAAGAATCAAAAGAGACATGTTTTTCTACTTTGGTATTTTCTATATTTTTATTTTTATTTTTACCAGAATCAAGCACCCTAGTGTTTGTCTCGCCGGGGCCACACTCCAAAGGAGAAGCTGGTGCAGCGGTAGTATCATAAATATTACAATCACAATGCTTCATACAAGTACATACTTCAGATAACAAATTTAAAAGTCTATTTACAAATTGGGGAGCCACCCCTGTCTTTCCTTTATTACTCATGCAACACCCCGTAGCAGGGGCCACTTTGTTGTGATTTACTTCATTGTTCATAGGAGTGAAGGCACCCAAGTGACCTAAGCTCCAAATTCTTTTCCCTGAGTCTTCATTTCAGCGACCTGCTGGTCGTAAAAAAAGGCCTGGATTTCGTTGTATGAACGACCGGCCAGAGTATTGAGCTGATCATCCGTCTTTTTTGTTTCCAATTGGCGTGCCTGGTGCCCTTGGTTATTTTTTTGTTGGGCGGCCTGCACCCCGTTTCTACAGTCTCGGGACATGTGTCCCTCTTGGCTGCAATTGTAGCAACTGCCCTTGAAGTTGCCCATCTGTCCTCCCTGGACCGCACCAATATCCATAGGGGCTCCCTGCCCTGGTTGCAGCCTGAATGGCTTGAACCCATGAGAATGTTGTCTTTGGTTTGATGACCTAGCAGCTCTACTGCATGTTCATTGCCGAGCCCTCCTTGAATGGAGAGGGCCAGGAACCGGGTTACAAAGCCATCTGTCCTCATGTTTCCTTGTTTGAAGGAACAGATTTGCTGACATGCCCAGTCACACTCAGGTTGTGGTTCAAAATATTTTTCGATCTCTACTTTGAGATCGTCCCAGGTAGGCCACACACCCGCGGTGTAGCATTCCTGAAGTCTTACTTGGGTGAATTGACCCGCCACAGGTTCTTTTAGTCTTGACAGCACTGCTGTTGCTATTTCAAAGTTATCAGCAAACACGCCCGGTTTGCTTTGACCCAAATTTGGAGTTTGATCCACATTCGGCAAGTCGTGCTTGATCTCCTTCGAATGCGCTGGGGTCAGCGATGATCTTGACTTTCTTGCTGAACTTTCATCCAGATGTAGCTGCAGGGGGGTTTTCCTGAAGCTCGGCGAGTTGCATAGTTAACGCCAAAATCTGTGCACGCATGGCGTGCAGCAGAGCATTGATATCTTGTTGCGACAACATGTCGACTTGTTCTCTTTGTAAAGTAATAAAAAATGTAACTGGGGGTCCCCGCTTGCTATCTGCGGATCTACCTCTTCCCAGCTGAGCATCAGATCTCAATCTCCGACTACCCACACTATAGTATTTCAAAAGTATATAAAGTTATAGTATTAAACCCTGGTCCGAACGGTTGTCAGGGGGTGGTCCGCTTGTTAAGCTGTCAACCCTTCTCCAACTGGCTGAGGCAAGTGCCCGGTGTTGATGATGAGAACTGTTGTTAGAAAACCACACACAAAACAAACTAACACGCAATCCTCCCAGATTCCACGGAACTTGTTTATGGGCTTTGCCTCCTAGAACAGTGGGTGCTCTGGTTGTTTGTGGGGTGGTATGTATGACAATCCTTCAAAGTAAAACCCAGAGATGTATGGGTGTGGGTTTTGAGGAGGAGGGATAGTTGGAATGTAGAAGATAGGGGCTTTGTGGCGAGTATAGACAAGCACTACCTTGCTAATCATAGCACAAGGTAGGTTTTAAATTGACAAAGTTCCCAGTAATAGCAGGCTCCTGACGCACAGAATGTAGTGCTCAGAAAGACTCTAATCAAAAGGGATGACAATTACTTTCAAAAAGTGACAAGTGACGATGACAGCAGTTAACAGTGGTAGCAGTGGGAAGTGTTGTGACCACACTGGATCACAAGTAGCAGAGTAGTGAACTTGAGATTTAGAGAAGAAGTCTGGATTCGAGTTCTTGTTGTTTTCACAAGGTAAAATACAGGGGTTTATATAGTAAAAGAAAGGGAGGCTATGCACAGTATAGCTGTGCAAAAAGAATGAGAAAGAACATGAAGGAAGGAATGTATGCTGATGAATCCTGTGTAGGTAGTACAGGATAAGATCGTCAAAATAAGGAAAAGAAAGAGATAGAACAATGAATGCTGTGTAAGTAATGTTACAGGTTTGTATAGCCATAAAGTAAAGTCCAATAGCAAAAAGAGAGCAGGAAAATCATGATGTCATGGGAAGATGACGGTCCGGGACGAATCCATTTA